ATATGAAATGCACAAACAAAATAGTGCGAGGGTTATGCATTGAATTCTGTCCCCTCAAGAGATATGTTAAAGCCCTAGCCCTGTACCTGTGAACATGACTTGGTTTGGAAATATGGGTTTTCTTTTGTTAACATTTAGGTTAAAAGAGGTCGTGCCAGAGTAGGGTGGGTCCTAATCCTTCTCAGCGGTGTCTTATAAAGGGGGAGAACAGACAGTCACACAACAGGAAGAAGGGCTATGTAACAGACCAGATGCAGCTGCAAGCAAAGAACATCAAGGATCTCCCACAGCCACTAGAAACTAGGAGAGACACATGGAACAACAGTTCTTCTCTCAATGCCCTCAGAAGGAATCAACACAGCTAATACCCTGACTTGGACTTTTAGCCTCCAGAACTGAGAGAAAAAAAAGCTTCTGTCTTTGAAAGCCACCCTGTTTGTGGTATTTTGTTATGGCAGCCCTAGGAAACTATGACAGGATAAACAAAACCAGAAGCTGGTTCTTTGAAAAGATTAGTAGCACATGAATCCATACTGATAGAAATAAGTGACTGAAAAATAAATGGGGGAGTGTCTTAATTTCCTAGGGCTGATGTAACAATTACCACAAACTGGATGGCTTATAACAATAGAAATTTATTCTTTTACAGCTCTGGAAGCTAGAGGTTCAAAATCAAGGTGGTGGCAGAGCCATGCTCCTTCCAAAGGCTCTAGGAAAGAATCCTTCCTTCTCTTTTCCAGCTCCTGGTGGTTGCCAGCAATCCTTGGTGTTCCTTGGCTTGTAGATGCATCACTCCAATCTCTGCCTCTATCTTCACATGGCCTTCTCCCCCGTGTGTCTGTGCCTCTGTGTCCAAATTTTCCTTTTCTTACAAAGGACATCAGTCATATTAGATTTAGGGTCTACCCTAATCCAGCATGACCTCATCTTACATAGACTACATCCACTAAAAGCAATATTTTTGTGCAAGTCAATGAAGTGATATTCTAAATAAGGTCACATTCACAGGTTCTAGGTAGACATGAATTTGTGGTGGACATGACACTATTCAACTCAGCACAGGGACAATACACAAATTTCCTATGCAGAAGAATTCTAAATAATTTATGTAGCTACTTTGCCTTCAAGGAGGTGGAGAATAATTCTTTACTCCTTAAGTATGAGCTGTACATAGTGACTTCCTTTCAAAAATTACAGTATGGAAAAAGTGATGGGAGTAGGCAAACTTTACAGTGGAGAAACCTGACAAAGACTACCTCAGCCAGGTGATCAAGGTCAACATGAACAGTGAAGTCATGTTGATAGTATGTACCCTTGATATGATGTGATGAAAAGGACACTTTACCTATATCGTCTTCCTCCCCCAAATCCAAAACTCCTGTCTAATCATGAGAAAAACATTAGACAAATACCATTTAAGGGACATCCTATAAAATACCTGACCAGTACTCCTCAATACCGTCAATTATCAAAAACAAGGAAAAGTTTGAAAAACTGTCATAGCCAAGAAGAGCCTAAGAAGACATGATTAAATGTAACATGGTATCCTGGGACAGAAAAAGGACACTAGGTTAAAAATGAAGGAAATCTGAATAAAGTATGGACTTTAGTTAATAATATTATATACATATATGTGTGCACATGTATACTACATACACACATATACCGTATTTTTATGCAAATAATGCTTTCTTTTGCCAACTTTGCCCTCCCCGTGAGGTATTTTCATAAGTGCACTATGCTAATTTTTTCCTACAGCAACATGTAAAAAGGAACTGGCATAGCGAAGCTTATGAACCTACCTCACGGGGGGAGCGCACGGTTGGCAAACAAACGTAGAAGGCGTGTGTTATTTGTGTAAAAATACGGTATGTTATTAATAATATAAGTTCATCAATTCTAACAGATGTACCATTCTAATGTAAGATGTTAAGGCCACTGTATATTTTGAATGCCTTCCAAACTAGGAGGTCCCTAGGTGGCGCAAATGGTTTGCAATCAAATATTAACCTAAAGGTTGGCAGTTTGAACCACCGTGGAAGAAAGTTCTGGCCATCTGCTTCTGTAAAGATTACAGCCAAGAAAACCCTATGGAGTAGTTCTACTTTGTAACGCCTGGGGTCGCCATGTGTTTTTGGTTTTCCAATCTAGGGGTCTCATTTTCCAGCACTATATCAAGCAATGTTGTAATCTATATGGTTTTAATTGGCTAATTTCCAGGAGTAGACTGCCAGGACTTTATTCCTAGTCTGTTTTGGTCTAGATGTTCCACTGAAACCTGTCAACCATGGCACAGGACTGGGCAATGTTCTGTTCTGTTGTACACAGGGTCATCATGAGTCGAAGTCAACTTGATGGCAACTAACAACAATGTAAAACATTAACAACGGGAAACTGGGCGTGGGGTATATGGGTACTCTCTATACTATCTTCACAATTTTTCTGTAAATCTAAAACAGTTTTAAACAATTTGAAAGTTTATTTTTAAAAGGCAGATTTGCAGCTCTGGACAGACAGTGAGTCTAAGTGGTGGCAGATCCTCAAAGTTGTCGTCAGTGACAATCTGGCAGCACAGAAAGAACACCCCCTGCAGCAGGGGGCCAGTCCCAGAGGCCTCAGGCCCCAAATGACCAGAGTCCTCAAGCATCTGACCACTGCCCTGGCCCGAAAGAGCCTCAGGTCAGAATTCTTACAAGAATCCAGTCTGATCATGGCCCAGCTGAATGACGTGGAAGATTATAAAGAAGCTTTCGACATTTATGCCATTCAATGCTCGCTGCTGACAGCAGTCCGCGTGCCTTGCCGTTGCAGGTTGCAGGTAATTGGGGAGCCTAAGCTACCACAGGCAAGGCCTGGGCTTTTTCTCCGTGGAGGAGTCCCCAACGTCACATGACCTGGAGCCATTGGAGACTCCCTGGAGCTTCCTGTTTACCCTGTGCTTTGGCTGGTGACTAACACCAGAAACTCCTGCACATACTGCAAGTAATTTCAAGGCTAGCAGCAAGTTGTTTCCTCAGAGCTGAGGCTGAAAAGAATCTGAGGCCCCATCTTATCAGTGAGGGAAATGGAAGAAAAAACATTTCAGTAAATTTTCCTGATAATATGCAACTTAAAATGAGCTGTGGTGGTGCAATAGTTAAGTGCTCAGCTGCTAACTGGAACCTGCCAGCGGCTCTGCAGGAGAAAAGGCATGGAGATCAGCTCCTGTAAAGATTACAGCCCAGGAAACCCTATGGGGCAGTTCTACTCTGTTCTATAGGGTCGCTATGAGTCGGAATCCACTCAATGGCACACAACAATGCAACTTAAGCAGCAACTTTTCTCGATAATTAACATCTTATACAGCATATATGGAGCCCTGGTGGCACAGTGGTTAAGAGCTCAGGCTGCTAACTGAAAGGCTGGCAGTTCGAATCCACCAGCTGCTCCTTGGAGACAATATGGGGCAGTTCTACTCTGTCCTTTAGGGTTACTGTGAGTCGCAATAGACTCGACGGCAACAGGTTTACAGCTGTTTATATGATCAAATGGCCACAAGGTACAGTGAGTTTTTATTCATTCATAACACATCTGCATTAATTAAGGCTAATGGTTAAGACATATGGTAATTAGTTTAATAGTTAATCATCCAAGAATTAACTATGTGTCTAGGGCCTCAGGGATAGAAGAAAGTATAAATATCCCTGCTACCATAAAGGAGTTTATAGTCTATTGTGAGAGAATGTATTCATATAAGAAGAAAAATGGCAAAAGACAGGTGTTATGGATTGAATTGTGCCCCCCAAAATATATGTTGGAATCTTAATCCCTATACCCGTGGATGTAATCCTGTTTGGAAATAGGTGTTTCTTTGTTATGCTAATGGATCACACCAGTATAGAATGTGTCCTCAACTCAATCATATGAGTTATAAAGAGCAGATTAGACATAGAGGCACATACAAACTGGGGAAGACAGACACCATGTGAGGATTACCAAGGAACCAAGAAACACCCCAACCTTCCGACAAGCAAGGAATTCATATGACTGAGACTCTGATTTGGACTTCTAGCCTCCAGAACTTTGAGAAAATAAATTTCTGTTCTTTAAAGCCACCCACTTGTGATACTTCTGTTACAGCAACACTAGGAAACTAAGAACAGAACACAGGCAACCCTTTTATTTGTAAAACGGGGTATAATCACATTTACTTCATAGATTTTGAAGATCAGGTTAAACAATACACTTAATGAAGAACCTGGCACATTCTAAATGCTCAATAAATGATATTTTAAAATTAAAAAAGGTGAGGGGCAAGTTTGGTCAACAGGTCTTGGGATCTGATCCAGAAGTAATTGGTCAGTGATCCAGAATATGCAACTTCACTTGGTGTGCAATGAAATCCTTTATTTTTTAAATTTATGATAATACTCTAAAATGTACAGAAATAAGTGACAGTAAAATTGTTTAATTCAAGAAGCTATTCTATTCTATATAGAATAACTATAGAAATAATGAAGCAACACATACTGATGCTTTTGCTATAGTTATGTAGTAAGTTGTGTACTCACTCATAGTATGTGTTTTGCCATTTAAGTTATTAAAGGGAGACAAGATAGACTTGTTCTTTTTAACTGAAAGTTAAATGGAATGAAGTCAGTTATCGATGTTTCAACACTTAAGAATTTGACTTATAACCCGAAACTATTGCCCTTACTCTTCAAACCTTGAATCAAAACGAACCCGAGGTCACCTTGTAGCTAAATAACAAATTGGCTCACAAAATAGTGAATATCACCCGTAAGTACTATGCTGCTTTAAAAAAAAATCACCTATGTGAGACCAAACAGTCAACAAGGACTTTAAAACAAAGATGAGGATGTAAGGGGAGCAAGAAACTAGATTAATGGAACTGGAACAACCAGAATGGAAACAAAGAAATTATTCTTGGATTGTGAAGAAGGTAACCAATGTCACTGAACAACTTGTGTAGAAATTGTAGAATGGGAATCTAAACTGCTATGTAAACCTTCACTGAAAACACAATAAGTATTAAAAAGAAAAAAAAAAGAACTTGACTTATAAAATTTGTTTTATATCACTGAAAATGATTTTTCTACATTAGCATTAATGAAAGAATAAACAGGAATATTCCTCCTCACCCACAAAAGCTCCCTGGGACATTAAAGATCCTAGTCACACCTACCTAATACAGAAAACTATGAAAAGCAGAACAAATTTTTGGTAATTCTTAGCCTTTTCCGATCTTAGAACAAGCAAAGAAGCCTTTTTCTCCCATCAACACTAATCCAGGTATGTTGTTTTTTTCATTTATTTTTTATTAGAACTCATGTTCAGATCTTTAAACAAGTCTCTCTGTAGGAGTAGGGAAGGTGAAAAAACATTTGTTTCCCCTCAGTCATAGGGCCAAAAGCAGAATTCAGACAAGGCCGCTGAGGCCAAGGCTTCAGACATAGCCCCACTCCGTGCACTGAGCTTCTGATCAAAAAGATCCCACTGTTTTGGCAACAGGTTCCCCCAGAGTCTCCCGACCTATTTCCAGGGACTGCATCGCTTTATCCAGGCTGCTCATCACTTCGACTGAGAGGAAAGCACTGGACTGAGGATCCTCTGTTTCAAGCGACTTCATGGATTCCAGACCGAGCATCGCTGTGCCTGGAAGGAAAGCATGGAATTGAGCATGTAGCATGTATGCTGCTCAGAACATACAGGATATAAAGGGAATGTGAGCCCACAGGAAACACTGCTACCCCAGTGGTCACCCTAGAGGAGACTACCTGCATTAGCATCACCCAGGACACTCAATTAAATTATGATAGTTAATATTTATCAAGTACTTCCTATGTGTTCTAAGTGCTTTAGTATACGCATTCATTTAATCCTTGGGAAAAACCTGTAAGTGGCCAGTTAGCACAACCCCATTTTACAGAAGAGGAAACCAAGGAACAGAGAGGTTAAGTAGTTTGCCAGCACACCAACTCCTGGCGGGGGGGGGGGGGGGCGCGGCGGGGAGGCAGGCTGTGCTGGGCAATTTGCATTTTTACAGCTCTCCTGGGTTTAATTCTGTGCCTGCGATCACTGAGTACAAGACCTTCCACTCTGGAGTTTTATCTCAGAAAGTAGGATCCAGTTGGACCCCTTCTCCATCCCTGAAAAGGAAGATTCACCTGGACAGACTGGCGGGAAGGAGCTGGGCTTCCCTGGATTTCCCAGCTGCCTCCCACAGTGACTCAGTCCTGGGCTTCCATGATTACTCTAAAAGCCCAGGAATCCTAGCATCCCAGGATGTGAAGGCCTTCCAGTTTGGCAGGAGAAGAGTGGTGGGGAGTGAAGAGAATCCCTTAGCAGGGCCTAGGTCTGCAACACCTGGAGACTGGGCACAATGAAGCTCCTCACCTCCACACTGTTTCCTGCGGGACCTCCCTGCCAAGATGTGAATAAGTCTTTTGGCGCGTTTCCGGTACCAGTGTCTCCCGGAGATGAGGATCTCAACTTTGCCGTCGGAGTCCGGCTCTCCCACCTGGAGCAGGACTTTGAACTCACGCTCGAACCCCGGGAGGAGGACTTTGCTTGGGCCTGTGTAGAGAAGAGGATTACTGAGGGACTAGGCAGGATGGGGAAAGGCTAGGAGGAGCCTGCGGAGGAGAGAGGGAGTTAGCCACTGGAATCCTGGCCCTGCCTTGGGTCTGCTGTCGGTGGCTTAGGGTGGGCCCTAGAAGACCAAGGTGGGGAGGGGTGGTAAAGACTCCAGTGCACTCACCGAATATCTTTTCCAGCAGACACGCCTCAACGTGAAGCACCAATGGTTTCAGAAAGTGCTTAAACCTGCCCCAGTGCGGCAAGTGTACAAAAGGCATCCCTTCCCGGAGTGGAAACCCTTCCCGTCGGCTTCGGCGCTGTACAGCGCCGCCCTGCTGCACTGGATCACCCGGCTGCACGGGGTCGCCCTGTTGCACGGGATCGCCCAGCTGCATGGGGTCGCCCTCCTGCATGGGGTCGCCCCCAGGCCGGGCGCCATCGCTCGCACCTAGGACAGGATCTGGAAGAGAAAACCCCATATGAGATAGCGGCGGAGGCGAGAATGCGTGCGCGGCCCACAGCGCCCGGATAATTCCTTTCATAAGCCCCGCCCCCTCCAAGGGCGCCCGCTCATTGGCACCCTCGGACCGGGGCCAGCCAATGAAGGGTCTCAGCAGCAACTAGTGCTAACCTCCAGCCAGCCCACCGGGAGAGAGAAACCTGGACTGGAATATAAGCTTTCTTTGAGTTCCATTGTTTCCCCCGTAATAAATGTTATAAAACCGTGGGGGTTATCAAAGGTGCAATGGTCACCAACACTAGTTACGGTTCAGAAACTCATATCTCTGAGCACTGGACACACTAGTATGAAGATCACTTCTGCAGTGGCGTTCAGCTAATACCGTTTCCATACAGCAGACCGGGATTTATGGCGACCTCACGTGTGTCAGAGTAGAACTGCACGTCATAGGGTTTTCAATGGCTGTAGTAGGAATTGAGGAATCCCTGGGTGGCGCTATAGGGTCGCGGTAAGTCGGAATCGACTCTACGGCAACGGGGTTTTTTTTTTTTTTTTTTTGAGTTATGGGTGCCACAAACAGTTAACCACTCGACTCTCGACACAAACGTTGGCAATTCAAACTCACCCAGAGGTACTTCGGAGGACAAGCCTGGCAATCTGCTTCAGAAAGGTCACAACCTTTAAAGCCCTATGTAGTAGTGCTACTATGCACACACTGGGTCAGGATGGATTAGATGGCAGCTGAACAGCAAGTGGTTTATTTTTATTTTTAATCTTACGGAAGTAGATCACCAGGTCCTTCTTCCACGGTGCTGCTGGGTGGATTCAAACTGCCAACCTTTGTTAATAGTTGCGTACAAACCGTTTGCAAACGGTCTGCAACACCCAGGGGCCTAGACTATAAAGATAACTAACATTTATTGTGAGTTAAATGCTTTACAGCAACCTTTTGAGGAGAGTAGGAAATGGAAGTGGTGGGATTAGGATGAATCCAGAAAGTAAGGAGGCTCTCAAACCTCTGCTGTACTATAATGCTGAAAGGATTTGACTGTTTCTTACCATTGGTACTTCTGATGTTACTATAGCTTTGCTTGTCCACAACATATCAAACAACACAATTGTCTCTTAGTATTCAAAACATCAGCTACCAAAAAATTTCAGTTATCCCAAATCCCTTGCTGATACTATGGAATTCTGAAACCTAACACCTCCTTCAATGGCATGCCTTTATAATGCACACTGATTATAAGCCTCTTTTCTAAGGATATCACTTAAGAACTAGTTTTAGTATTGCTCAGAGCAATCATTTAGCACATGCCCTAATACACTGGTTCTCAAAGTGTGTGGTCTGAGGGATCCCTGGGAGTCTCTAAGACCTTTTTGGGGGTTCTATGAGTAGGAATCGACTTGACAGCACACAAGAACGAGGTCAAAACTATTTTGATAATAATACCTTATTTGCCTTTTTCACGCTCATTCTTTTACAAACGTATAGTGGAGTTTTCCAGAAGCTATGTGGCGTGTTACATGTGGTATCACAGCAGACTGAACACAAAGCACATATGAAAACCCAGCTGTTTTCTACTAAGGCAGACATTAAAGATTTGAAGAAATGTAGAATGTTACTCTTCTCAATAGAACTCTTTTGTTGTAGAAAGTAGTTATTTTTCATAAAAATGTTATTTATGTTAACACGTAATGGGTTGATATTTCTAAATGAATAAAGGAATATTTTTAAAAGCTTCTCAGCTTTAATTTCTAATACAGTAAATATCACACAAACAAAACCTCTTTGAGGTCATCAATATAAAGGAGTCCTGAAATCAGAAAGTTTGACAACTACTACCCTAGTAGAAAGGAGTTCCTAGGTGGTACAAATGGTTAAGTGCTTGCTGGTAACTGAAAAGGTGGAAGTTCAGGACCACCCAGAGGTACCTTGGAAGAAAGGCTTGGTGATCTACTTCTGAAAAATCGGCTACTGAAAACGCTATGGCACACAGTTCTACTCTGACACACACGGAATTGTCATGAATCAGAATTGATTCAACGGCAACTAGTTTTTTACCTTAGTAGAAAAAACCTAAGACGATGTTAGGAGGCTTTGAAAACAGCTTTTACCTCCCCACTTACTATCTGAATGCAATTTATCTGCCTCTCTTGCCTTTAGTTTATTCACTATAAATTTAGGAGATTAATTCATGGAAATGTTACATAGTTGAGAAAAAATACAAATTATCAAGCACTAAACAATCTTATTACATGTTTGACCAAAAGCCTGGGTAGTGGGCAGGAGAGTTCTAAAGCCCTGATCCATCTGTCACTGCAGAACCCAGATCACACTGGGCCACTGTCAGAAGTTTAGATGTACGACTACTTAAGACCTTATCAGAATAATTAAAAAAAAAATACATACCTTATTCTTAAGAGTTGCATGCTTAAGTACTGAAGCATGAAATAACATGATGTTGACAACTTACTTTCAAATTGTTTAGCAAAAAAGAAAAAAGTCTCTTTACAGACATACATGCATAAAGTAAGTAGCACAAAACGATAATAAAACTGTTGAACCAAGATGGAAAGTTTATGGGTGGTCACTGTCCAATTCTTTCCAATCCGTAAGTTTTTAAGTTTTCACATTAAAAAGGTGTAAAGTAACAATAATAGTTTCGGTGGCTTTAGAAAGTCAACAGACATACTCTTTTTTGCAGGAACTACTGAAAAAAGGATGATTATTAATTTTTAAAAAAATGCAAGGACATGGTAAAGCGCTTATAAAGGTATGCAGCAGATAATGGATATTCTTCCCACTCCAGAAACCCATTCCCCTCCCTAGAGGCAACACTGTTTAGTTTATTATTTGTCGTTTCAGAAAGAATATATATATATGTATGTATGTTTAAAATATATAAACATATATGTGGGTATAAAGTGGACTTGCATTGTATGTATATTTAAACTTACCAGAATTTAACTACAGGACAAGAGAGTAAAGGAGGGAAGGAAAACGGGGAGGTAGATAGTTCAAGAAATAATAATTTAAATTGTACAAGTGATTCTTCCTGTCATTCCACTCAATGAACAAGTGTGAAATGGAGAGCTGACTTTCTTGTTCCCTTGGTCAATCTTGGTTTCTGAGGGCCACTCGGTGTGTGAGCATCTCATCATGATGACTGTGATTATACAGTAAACCGGAACCTGTGTAAGACAAAAGCTGGAACCTGTATAAGGCAGAAACCTGTCAGAGAAGGAAAACTAAATATTTTCCACTAATCAAGAGTGATAGGAAAGTAGTAAGCTGCACCATCAATGGCAGAAAACTTGAGAGATCTGGAAAAATAAGGCAGTCCCATCCACTGAGTTCCGGCTCTCACAGGTTTCACTGTAATAGTTCAATATTCCAATTCACCTCTTCCTAAATCACAAGCTTTAAACTAACAAAGTAAACACCTTAGGAGGTAACTTTAGAACCTAATGCCCCACAAAAGATGCCACTCTATCCTTTATACAACAGCAGCACACTATATGCATTGTTAAACAGTTCTAATGCTTAGAAACCTCTTCTCCATTTTGAGCCAGAATCTACCTCCCAAACCTCTGACCATGGGACTTCTTAAACAATGACAATCCTTCAATGAGGTAAAGGTTGCTCTATCATGTGTCTTTTCCTACTCCCACTAGAAGTTTCTTTTATGGCTGAACTAGTTCTGATTTCTTTAATCATTTCCTTAATGACCCTGTCTAGTTAAAGTAATTATATTTATTTGTTGCTGAAGATACTGAGTAATTAAACTTACTTTAATTAAAAAAAAAAAACAAAACTAAACACTCTAGCTAAAGAAATAAATTGTGTGTGTGTGTGTGTGAAGGCAAGGACCCTTCTGGGTGGACATGTGTCAAGCAAGACAATCACTTCACATCTGAATACCAAAGAGTCCAGTTTTCTCATGGAGTGACATCTGTCAACAAAAATTTCACTTAAATATAGTAACCATAGATCCCAAACATGGAATTTAGAGCATCCTTTATACTTCATCATGCTAACAATCCCTGAGGAAAGGGCAACTTAAAAATCATGGTTTTGACTGAATAGGGCCCCTCTCCCTCCCAGGTACTTCAAGAGGAATCTATGGCTTATTCAGAAGCTACACACACACACACACACAAACACACACACCCCATCCTGTCATTCTTACCTCCAAGACGGCTTTTACTTTACAAAACAAATATGGAGAGAGTCTCTCTCCTCCATCAAGCTCTGAATTTGGTTGGGTGGACTCTGGTAGTCTGACACATATCTGCTCTGTCTTGAAAACAAAAACAAAAATATAAGTGGCTGGAGAATCACAATTAAGGGTGAAGAAATAAAACTTTACCATTTTATAGCTATTTCTTAATTAATGTCTCAAGTTAGCTGCTTTCTCTAATGTACTGTACATCACATTATTTTAATGAAGACGTGTGTCTTTTGTTAAAAAAATGAAAAAAAATTCAGCAATTTTTCCTTCAAGAATGAAAATTTACATGAAAGAATTGAATGTTCAAATAACTATTCTGCTTTTCAAAGCCACCATTTTTATCTCTAAGCCTTGATCTTTTCAGGATGATAAAGCATAGCCCATCAGGCCAGCCTAGGAGCTGGCCGAAAGGGTGAAACATGAGACTAAGAGGGCTGAGAGACTCCTGAGTGCAGAGCTGAGCTCTCAACAAAGTGCTATAAGGGTTTCCACCTGGGAAACCCAAGTCCCAGATACCAAAGGATTTTGCATAGAAGCAGCACAGGTACTGGCCTGAAGTCAAAGGTTCCTGGAGGAAGGCCCCAGACTGTGAACTTTGAGGTGATGGGAAAATGGGAGGTGTGGGGAAGAGTGATGGAACAGGAACGCAACCAAGTAGGATTCAGACCAAAAAAGAAACAGAGGGGCTAGGCCAAAGAGGGCTAATCATTCCTTACTTCCAACTTTAGAGTATTCAGGGCAACCTAAGAGAAAGGAACAGAGATGAAACAAGACTACCCCTGTGTTGATAATTGTTGAACCTGAGTGACAAGTACATGGGAGTTTATTACTATATTCTTCTCTCTACTTTTATGCTTGAAAGTTTCCAAAATAAAAAGTTAAAAAATACTCATTCATCGCAATCCACTTTCTATAGGATTGCATTCACATACCTGAGCCTTTCTAGGGAAGATAAAACAATTTATGGACAAGTTCAAATCATCAATGTCGAATGGGTACTCAGGCCTGCCTTGCCACCTTACTAGGTTAAGTGTGTTCTCACTTAGTGACCTCTACTATTTCTTACCTTCTCCGTCTCTTCGAACAGTTGATGACTGTCTTATCATTACTGTGAAAAAGTCATCAGATTGGAATGTCTTGATTTCCCTACAACCAAATATAAAAGTTCCCTGACTCTGCACAGACCTCTTTTTTCCCCTCCTGTTGCAATGAAGGTGTTCTTCACCCTATACATGACAATTAACTGCCAATCCTTTCACCTTTATATCCCATCTCCTCTTTTTTCAAGGGCTTTGCTCCACTCAGTTTCTCTCTCCTGCATCATCAACCTTTATCATTCAGTCCCCAGCACATAAACATGCTTCTGTATCCCTAGTCTTTAATAAGCCCTGTGTGACCTAACACCTCCAGGTACTACCTGATTTCTCTGATTCTCTCCTCAGCTAAGCTCTGAGAGCTGTATTTGTGTGATGCTTCCACTTCATTCTTCAAGACTTTTCAATTTGGCTTCTGACACATCAGAACTGCTTTCGCTAAGGACACCAATGGCCAGTGTAGCTAAAGCCAATTTTAACTTTTTTTCTGGACTTATTTTAAATCTTTCTGGGCTTGTCTGCCTGGATCCCTTGGCAGCATTCCACAAAGCAGACCACTTCCCAGACAGGAGGATCATTCTAACCCGCAGAGTTCCAGGAGCTGAGCTAGGGCCCCAACCCACCATCCCTGCACCTCAAATACAGCTGGAAAACTCATACAGTGTATCCAAGGACCAAGTAGAGGACGTTCATGAGCCTTCAAATCTGAGCGTCCCTGTACCCTGTGAGCTACAGGCTGTAGGGAGGCATGAATCTGTACCCCTCTGTCTTGTCAGGGAAGCAACTCCCAGACAGGTGCAGGTGGGCCAGAGAACCTCTCATCATTTTTACAGGTTGCCTCTCCTTTAAACTTGGAGTTTACATGTATCCCAGGAGGTGGGGGCAATCCTGCAGATGTTCCCCAAAGAAACCCGGGTGGGCAGAGCTGGGTTTTTCCCTTCTTGATCAGCCCCAAGGGTTCCTTTTCATGGTGACCTCAACTCTGAGTCCTCAGAGCTGTGGAATTACACTCTGGGGGTAACCAGAGACTCAAAGAAGTCTTCTGGAAAACCGACGGCCTCACAGCTCAAGAGACATAGAAGGTGCTGTTCACCTTCCCTCCAGGCCCTGGGAAGACAGGATGGGTCCCTGGAAAGTGGGAATTGGGTGTTGGGACTGTAAAGACCACCCAGAAGCTTCCAGTTTGAGTTCCTGCCTTTTATGGACAAAGCGAGACCTGAACAGCTGTCTTTAGGGAGGGTCATTTCCCCTGGGCCCACAGGAGCTAGAACTAGGGTTTTTGTTTCATGTATGAATCCTGTAACCTTTAGGGGACTGAGGTGTTATTCTTATCATTTAATGAAAAAGGACCTCTGCTTGGAAAGGTTAATTAGCTCGTTTCAGGGGGTGATCAGATAGAGCATTAAAGTGCCTCTAGCCTGAAGCTTTTGAGCTAACCAGGGCTTTTACTCTTATCTAGGCCTGCATTGGCCACTCTGGTCCAACCCTTATAAACCTGTTGCCATTGAGTCAATTATGGCACATAATGACCCTAGAGGAGTGACAGAGTAGGGTTTCCAAGGCTATAATCTTTATGGAAGCAAACTGCCACATCTCTCTCCCTCAGAGCGGCTGGTGAGTTCAAACTGCCAACCTTTCAGTTTGCAGTTGAGTGTTTTAGCCACTGTGCCACCAGGGCTCCTTCCAACCCTTACTGCCCACCCTAAATAATCATCTAAAAAAGAAAGAATAGGAAAATCTGATGCTTATAGAAGTTGAAATGTCTACTTTCAGAACTGCTACATGATCATGACAAATGAAACAGCAGTGTAGATCTGGACTGAGCATGTCCCCCAGAAGGTAATAGTCTTATCTTCTGGCATAGGCTCAACGACGATGAAAGAGAATCTGAAAACCGAAACTTATGTACTTTCCTGTTTGTGTGGTAAACTATTCTGGGACCAAGCATACATTCCTGTTTCTATGCTACATAATACTGGTCCAGGCATAATAAATTAGCTGCTTGTTCCAGGAAATATCTGCTCCTGAAAGATAAGACTGTGAACCAACTAAAATGGCTAATTTATCAGGACTAACAGTTTGCTAGGTTAAGACTGGTTTCAAGATTCTCAATTTGCTGTGCCCACCAATCCACAACTATTATGTTGCAGATTTTGCCCAATCTGGACCAGCTCCCCACTATTTAAGATCTGACTTAAAATCACCCAGCCCAGTCCCTAAAACCCTATATAATCCTTCCCTAGCTTTCCTCTTCTAAGACTGTAGTAAGAGTCTGTCAAGGTGGTGTAGGAATTCTAATAAACTTAGCTTTGCATGATCAAAGGTTTTTCTGGTGGGACTTTTAGGGAGTCAACAGTCAGCACTACATATATAAAAGCATATTTTGTAAACTGCCTTTTTTTTTTAAAAAAAGGGGTCACACCATAAAGACTGTTGTGTTACTTTTTTTTTTCAGTTCACATGTCACAAGGGCACCCTACCTATCAGTACAAATAGGTCTACTTCAGTCTTCTTAATAGCTGTTTATTATTACAAGGTATGAATGTCTCATACATGTTTCTCATGCTTTTTTCACTTGGATTCACAGTAAAAAAAAATGTTTTATATCACAAATATATATCTGAAAAAAATTAATATACTTTATTCCATTCTACCTACTGAATTGATTTCACCACCCTGTAATGGGTCACAGTCTGCAGTTTGAAAAACAGTACCATCTATTTATCAACTGACCATTTCCCTAGTGTCTCATTTACTCATTTCAATTATAAATAATGCTGCCACATTATTATAAACTGATCCTTCTGCAAATATTTTAAATGGGACAGACTCCACAGGATGCTGACAGTGGTTATCACAGCGCAAGATCCTTTAGGACCTAGGAAATAGAGGGGCAGCTCCTGGTCCCATTCTAAGTGGTCAGGTCCCCTAAGCTCCAGTCCTTTTTCTTTCTGCCACCCCTTCGGCTCCCTGATCCTGCACTTTGGCACTACACTTTAGTTGTCCCTAGGACCATTCTCAATTTTCCCCTGCCCTAGTGAGGCCCTGGGCTCTCTCCTCTTATGCCTGCCCTGCTCCTCTGGCTTGGGGTCCTGCACCAGGAATCCCAAAAGCTGGGGGAAGGAGACTATTAAACTAATTATCATAGTTTCTGGCCCAACTGGGCTTACAAACAGGCTTCCTGGTGGGGCTTCTATGCTGTGAGCATTTGAATACACTATGATCGCTAAGGTTCTGGACCCAGCTCTTGAACTACCAGGCTACAGATTTAGGTAAAGCTTCTTATCTGCTACTAAATGAACATATACACACTTTTAAAACTATAAATAAACTACCATATTTTTACAAAAATAACACATGCCCTCTGTGTTTGCCAGGTGTGCCACCCTGCCCCACCATCACAAGGCACCCTCATAAGCGCCACCATGCCAATCCTCTTCCACATGTTGCTGTTAAAAAAAAATTAGCATAGTGCGCTTATAACATTATTGGGTGGGTGGGTGGGGCACCACCTGCAAACAAAGGCAGAAGGCGAGCATTATTTGTGTAAAAATACCGTATCCTGGGGTTTTGGTTAAGAGCTCTACTACTAACCAAAAGGTCGGCAGTTCAAATTCACCAGCCACTCCTTGGAAACCCTATGGGGCAGTTCTACCCTATATCAAATAGGGTCGCTATGAGTTGGAATCGACTCAACGGCAATGGGTTTGGTTTTGATTTGGGGTTTTGGTGGTATAACTGATTATGCTTCAATACTCATCACATTATTTTACTTACTAGGTTGTTCTTACTATTTTGTTATATCAATAAGTCTGGCTTTTCTGGTACTGTGCTCTAATCACAACTCATTTTTAAATCTCTTCAGTCACGTATCTGACTCTTCCTTAAGGGGCTCATACATCTCCCTGACATTACACTGTATTTCTCATAACTGTCACCTGTGCTCTATGCAGAAAATGTGGTCACCTTTGTATCACAAAACAGATCACTTAGTTCCAACACCAGAATAATCTAGTCATATATTTCTTACCAGTATATGTTCTATAGATTTCCATGTATATATGAGTATATATAAGAATATAGATTTTTATGTTTACTATTTAATGGTTTAATAATGTTCAGTGAAGTGGATTTTAGTTAGGCACTTTCAATCTCATTGTATAAATAAAACAGAGATGAACGTTTTTGCTACTTAAACTATTTTCTACTTTTAGGATCATTTCTTTTAGACCCTTAAGTGAAGAGGGTCTTGATACATATTGTCAAACTGGATGTAGTTGAGGTTGTAAGCTCATTCCAAAATCCTCCCCACTCACTCAGAACCCAGATACTGCTGGCTGCCTAGGTCAGTAAACAGCTTCCAGTCTCTCAAGTGGACCATTCCAGTCCATCCTCTGGCCAATGTCAACCAAAGTAGCTCCTCCCCTTTGCCCTGGCCGGTCCTGGTTCCACTCTGGCTCATTTGCTTCCAGTCTTGGGTATAGGATCATTGTTCGTTGTCTTTTAGTTTGCTTCAGCTCATGGTAACCCCCATATACAACAGAAGAAACCGCTGCCCAGTTCTGTGCCAATCCTTGAGTCCATTGTTGCAGCTACTATGTATTTTGAGTGTCTTCCAATCTGGGGGGAGCTCATCTTCCAGTACTGTATCAGATAATATTCTGTTGTGATCCATAGGGTTTTCACTGGCTAATTTTTGGAAGCAGATCACCAGGCCTTTTTTCCTAGTCTTAGTTTGGAAACTCCATTGAAACCTGTCCACCATGGGTGACCGTGCTGGTATTTGAAATACTGGTGGCATAGCTTCCAGCATCATAGCAACATGCCAGGCACCACAGTATGACAAACTAGGTCTAGGATAACTCATTTTAATTTCTATCCCACATGTCTCTGGCCTGGGTCATCAGGCAGTGTCCCCAGAGCAGCTCTACCTATTCCCATCCTGAACGGCCCATCAAGTTTCTGGTTGAGCACTGGCACTGGGTACACCTTTCCACAGAATCTTCACACCTGTAGGTCTCAGTCAATTCACAGGTCCTTGGTTCCTGCAGGCCCTTTTCACCTAGGGTAGGAACACAGCTTTGCCCCAATATGCCAATCAACCTCCTTGCATCTGCTCTGACTTAAGACTCATAGGCTTTTGTCTGAATTGGCTGACAGGTCAGAAGCCGTAGGCTGAAAAATATACTAGTCAAGCCCTAAAGCTGGAACTTGTGTAGGTACCTGTGTCCCGTCACTACTGAGCCCGCCCTCCCTACAACAGTGATCTCACTGAAAAAGACACAAACTTAAAAGAGGTTGCAGGCCCCATGCCACGGGGGGAGGGGGGGCCAGAGCAGACCTTCTGTCAATATTCTTAACTCCTTGTCCACAGGAGCTGAACAAAGTACCTCCCTCTCAATATCGTCGGGGGGAGGTGGAGGGAATACACACATACACACAAAAAAAACTTAAAAAAAGATTCATCCAATTCTTCAAATTCATGCTTGAGACCATAAGCCCAAAGGGATAAAAATGGGACCCAGATGAAAGAAATGGCAGAGATATGAGGCGTGCATTTTCCTCCAGCCCGAGAGGTAAATACGGCCAGTGGGATCCTATATACACTGAGTGTGATGCTTAAGAGGCTGTTCACTGGGGATGTGGAGCACTTCAAGTGCCTCCCTGAGGATGAGCCTAGGTCACACCTCAGCCCCTGGAGTGCGTAAGGCACCCTCTCCCCAGGCAACATTCCTGGGAGCCTGGAGCTCCTTAGAGGCCCCAACCCTGCAGCTTGGGAGACCCAGGCCTCGGTCCGACCCGAAAGCGAGACTTTGCCGGGAGGCCACTCACCGCGCAGCTTCGCCGGCTCAGTTTGCGGTGCGTCCAGGCCTGGATCATCGCCGTGGGACTTCCCTCCGCACCTCCGTCCCTGGACGCGACCCGCCAAGCCGGCCTCCCGGGCTTCCCGGGCTCCCCGGGCTCAGGTGCGGCTGGGCCTGCGGCGCTTTGAGTGTGGAACCGCAGGCGAGTGGGCTGACGCGCTCGCCCCAGCCGCACTCCCGCGGAGCCACACATGGAAGACGGCCGAAGGGCACCCAAGCGCTCCCCGCGCTGCTTCAGCGCGCTTCCGGCGGGGCCGCTCCTATTTCCGCCCGAGCGTGCCTCGCACCCCGCGAGCCGGGAGCACGGGGAAGGGCCGGCTGGTCTGCACTGCTGCCGGCTCTTTCAGTCTGGCCGCCGCCGCGGATACCCGGCTCACAGGGCTGGCAGGGCAGAGTGCCCCCACCTTCATGTATGCCGGCCACGCCCCGCCTTGGGCGACCGGATCCCCTGTGTGGTCTCGCACACGGTTAGTCCCGTGAAGGGGCGGAGAAGCCAGGGTGCCCGATGGCATCACGGAGATGCTCAGTCCTGAATTTCTACCCTGGCCACCAGCTGCTGCTTGGAAACGCTGTGGGGCAGTTCTACTGTGTCCTATGGGGTCGCTATGATTCGGAATTGACAGCAACCAGTTCTGAACTATCTAAAATGAGTCCTAGTAGTGCAGTGGTTAAAGCGCTCAGCTGATAATCGAAGAGTCGGCGGTTGGAACCCGGCGGCCCCTTCCAGGGAGAATGATGTTGCAGTCGGCTCAGAAGATTTACAGCCTTGAAAACCCTATGGGGCTGTTCTACTCTGTTCTATAGTGTCACTATGAGTCGGAATCCATTCTTTAGCAGTGGGTTTTGGTTTGGGCAATCTGTTATGTGGGCTAATTTCCTTATTGGTTTTGTCAGGTCCAGTTATGAGCCCTGTTACTTTGGAGCAGAAAACATCCTAACTTGTGAGTCTTCATGTAGATTTTGCACTTTTCTTTTTAAATTCATCCCTAAAGATAGCTCACTGATGAGACCCAAAGAAGTAAAGAAACAGTGGAAACAGAAGACAGCAATATAAAGAGAAAACTAACCCAGATATCCTGGCTTCTATTTGATTGTCAAGTGATTTAAGGCCATCCTAAACTAGGAAAGAAATAGAAGCATGTTTTTCTGTTGACACATTTCAAAACAAAATGGACCTAACACCTTCAGCATGCAAACCATTATACTTTGATATATTTGTATTATTCTGAAGCCATTTGAAAGAATGGCAAGAAATGTTGACTGGCTCTTTAAGGGCCAATATTCAAGCAAAAGCATTAGAGTGCACTAAAAAAAGGGAGAAGGAATATTGTAACAGGAAACAGGAAAAAGGAGGAACAGATGAAAAGGACAGTAAGAGTTAACATTTACATAGGATTTATGTGCCATTTGCTCTTGGCTACTAACAGAAAAGTTGGGGGTTAGAGTCCACCCAGAGGTGCTGTGGAAGAAAGGCCTGAAGATCTGCTTCCGTAGTTTATAGCCAAGAAAACCCTATGAAGCAGTTCTACTCTCAAGCACTTGGGATCACTATGAATTGGAACTAGTTAGATAAGTGTCTTAGGCTGGGTTCTCTAGAGAAGCAAAACCAGTGAAGCGTATATATATGGAGCCCTGATGGCACAGTGGTTAAGAGCTTGGCTGCTAACCGAAAGGTCAGCAGTTCAAATCCACCAGCTGCTCTTTGGAAACCCTAGGGGCAGTTCTACTCTGTCCTGTAGAGTCACTGTGAATCGGAATCAACTTGACAGCAACGGATTTGGTTTTTTGGTTTGGTATATGTACATACATATATATAGAGAGAGAGAGAGAAAGAGAGAGAGAGAGATTTATCACAAGGAAATGGGACACGTGGTTGTAGAGGCTTGCAAGTCCCCAAGTCTGTGAGTTAGGCGTCAGGCTGGAGGCTTCTCCTGACTACGTAGCTGTAGGGGCTGACAAACCTAAGATAGGCAGGTCAGACAGCAGGCCACTGGCTCACGGGCTGCAGAGGCTGATGAATCCAAGTTCAGTAGGTAAGATGGCAGGCTGCTGGCTCACAGACTTCAGAGGCTGACAAATCTCAAGATTGGCAGGCAAATATGGCATGCCACTGGCTCAAGTTCCAAGAGCCAGAGGTCAGATGATGAGCCGTATGCAGGATCCAGAGCAAGAGCCAGCGAGCTTTGCCAGAACGTTCATATATACTGGATGCAGGACATATCCCCAAGGAAACTTCCCTTACAACTGATGGGCTGATCACATTAGATCGCATCATGGAGGTGATTACACTGTATCACAAAATGGAGGATAACTACATCATTACATAACTTCCAAACTACACTATTACATAACTTCCAAACCACTTCCAAATGGACGCATAGCCTTAAACAGCACAAAAGCTATGGTAATAATTTACTTATTCACTGAAAATTATTTATTAATTTTCTGCAATGTACTAGGCATTCTGAGCATTGATGATAAGTTGACAGTTATTTATCTGAACTAGAGAAAGATGATAGAATGGGGCAGGGACTGATCAACCTTAATTCTGTCTTTTATTCTTCCCTAGGTCTTTAACACAATGACTTAGACCTGTTCATAAATCATATTGAACTCCCTTATACTCACTACAGAAACACTTTGTTTATATGAGTGCTAAAGACATGAGGATTACAACCGCCCCCATTTCAAAGTGTAAAGGCAGAATAAAAACTAAACCAATGAAATGGGGAACTCAGAGTGATAATGGGGAGAATGCTACACATTACAGGGATTACAACCAATGTCATGGAACAATTTGTGTATAAACTACTGAATGGGAAACTAATTTGCTTTGTAAACCTTCGCCTAAAGCACAATTAAAAAAGAAAAAGAAATAAGTCAGACACAAAAGGGCAAACAAAAAACAAAAACCATCACCATCGAGTTGATTACGACTCATGGTGACCCTATGCTCCGTAGGGATTTTCATGGCTGATTTTTTGGAAATAGGTCGCCAGGCCTTTCTTTTGAGGCACCTCTGGGTGGACTTGAACCACCAACCTTTCAGTTATCAGTTGAACTCTTAAACATTTGTGCCACCCAGGGATGGCAAAGTCACAATAGAACTCTAAAAAGGGACAAGAAAAGCTGGAGAGGAGGGACCTATACCTATTCTGACCAAGAAAAGCCAGAAGCAGATGTCCTGAATGACTTACTAAAACGCAAAGAAATTGGCTTCTTAATTATGCTTTCAAAAATTTGTGCTCTACTCCCTGAACAACTCCTCAGAGTCAGTGGCCCCACCCCTAGCAACCAAAGCTTGGGACCATAGGAGACAATCTTCACCTGGGGATCGAGTGCTTGGATGAGCAGTCCACCTGTGTCTGAGGAAGAGGCAGAGGGCTCATAGCCTGGTATTTTAGTCATATTTTATGATCTGATAATTTCTAGGAATTAGGAGTTATTAATGCCATTTTAAGGAGCCCTAGTAACTCAATAGTTAAGCACTTGGCTGCTAACCTAAAGGTTGGTGGTTTGAACACAACCTGTGGCTCCACAGGAGACAGATCTGGTGATCTGCTCCCCTAAAGATTACAGCTTAGAAAACTCTATAGGGCAGTTCTACTCTGCCCTAACAATAACAATAACAATGACGTTTTACAGACAAGGAAAGTGAGGCTCAGAGGGATTAATAACTGTTATGGATTGAATTGTGCCCCCCCTCCCTTGCCCCCAAAATAGTGTTGTGAATCCTAACCACTATACCTGTGGTTATAATCCCATTTGGGAATGGGTTTTCTTTTTTATGTCAATGAGGCAGTATTAGTGTAGCGTGTGTCTTAAATCAATCTCTTTTGAGATACAAAACCAGATTAAACAAGCAAACAGAGACGAGGAAGATAGATGCCATGCCACATGAAGATCACCAAGGAGCCAAGAAAGAGAAGCTGAAAAGAGACAAGAACCTTCCCCCAGAGTCAACTTCTAGAGACAGAAAGCCTTCCTCTAGAGCAGGTACCCTGAATTCAGACTTCTAGCCTCCTAAACTGTAAGAAAATAAATTTCCTTTTGTGAAAGCCATCCTCTTGTGGTATTTCTGTTATAGTAGCACTAAATAACTAAGACAATATCTTTTCTGAGATCACACCGAACAGCTTTTTGAATTTAGGTCTTTATGGTTTCAAAGTTCACACCTCCCCTCTTCCACCTCCTGCCAATTCCCCTTGGATTCCCAATAAGAAATTTTCTGTTGTTGTGTGCTGTTGAGTTGATTTAGAGAGTAATCAGAGTAGAACTTCCCCAGAGGGTTTTCTAGACTGTAATCTTTACAGGAGCAGATTGCCAGGTCTTTTCTTCCGCAGAGTTGCTGGGTGGTTTTGACCACCAATCTTTTGGTTAGCAGTTGTAATGGTTAAGGTTATGTGTTAACTTGGCTGGGCCATGATTCTCACTGGTTTGGTAGTCAAGTAATGATGTACTTTGGCAGTTATGTGATAATGTAATTTGGAAGTTGTGTAATGATGTAATCACCCTCTATTTTGTAATCTGATGTAGTCATCCCCCATTTTGTGATCTGATATGAGCAGCCAGTCAGTGGAAAAGGGAGTTTCCTTGGGGGTGTGGCCTGCATCCTATATATATATACAAGCAAAACCAGTGAGGTTTTGCTTCTCTAGAAATCCCAGCCTAAGATGTTTGGTATTGAAAGTGGTTCTAGAGAAACAAAATCATAAGGATGAGTTTTCTAAATTGGTTCTCAAGTCTAGCTAGTCTTAAAGGCACTGATGACTCTGCCCAAAGTAGCAAAGAGGGCACTGCTAATCCATAGTGTGAGGTGGCAATAGAAATACACAAAGTATCACCACCAATGGATCAAATATTTGTGAGAAACAAGGCTCTGGGTGATTGTATATTTGATACTTTTCTACAATTTTGTCAGAATGAAAAGTATAAGGAAGCTGGTTGCTTTGTTCTACTTTTGCTAGACAAAGTGGTAAAAGAAAGAAATGAATTCAGAATTTCACAATCGCAGTTGAAGCACCACATAAAAGACCTGAAAGTTGCCACTTGTACCCTGAAAGAAAGCCTTATTTCTTATAGTGACAGAACTAGCCA